CTTTCGCCAACAGTATGGTAATAAACATAGTTCGGCTATTAATAGCAATATTTTGGTAGTAGGATGTATGCATAATATTAGTGTGTGTATTACGAACAGAAAATAGAAAAACTCCTTTTAACAATGAGCGGTAGAATGGCAGAATGTCTTCCAACAACGCATGTGGTTCGGGTTCGATTCCCAGGCGAATCATTCCCAAACTTTGCCTAGATTATTAACTGACAGTAAGCCTGGAGAAGAGAGAACCTTAAGAGTGAGGTTAGCAACCACATCTCCTAAGGACAATACGATGAACGGAATTTCAAAGCTCTGAAGCTCTATATTCCACACAAAACTCAAAGAAATAAAAGATTTCAACGGTAGAATAAAAAATGTTATAAAATGAAATGATATTCAAGTGTTGGTTTGTAGGGATTTGATTGGTTACAGGATTTTCATCATGAGCTGACATAAGTTAGATAACCATTGGAAAACCTGGGAGTACTGGACAGCTGTTTCGTCCTAGTTTGGGACTCTTCATCAGTACGCGCCCACCACTAAGGTTTGAACCCAGGACCTTCTGGTTACAAGGCGAGCTCGTATACCATTAAGCCACTGGGACCCGATCCAATGGCCCATGAATTCCAACTTCTGCCAATTCACGACATAGCGCGACCCCTAGCCAATGTCTTCGGCGAGTATTTGTCTTCACACCCGACCTGAGTTTTTACAGGAATCAAATCCGAAAAGATCTCATATTTTGTAATATTTTATTCATCCTGCTTCCAGTCCTTATCATAAGTATTCAAATGTACAGATGGAAATAGTTCCTAGGTAGTAATAAATCAAGTTTCTTTGGCATGTCTGAAAATCTACCAAAGTAGGAACACAGGGTATCGAGTAAACCACACGTCTTTTAATGTATATATGCCTGAGGGCTCCAAAATTGACATAATTTGGCGATATCGAACTTTTGTTTCGGTGTTGAGATTCTGTCAATGACCAATCAGTTTATTAAGGATGATTCAACTGCTTATCTAAGTAAAACGAGCAACACATTCAATCAGTTCTCTCCCTAACCTTAAACTAGAATACGGTACGGATCAATTCTGTATCATCGTGTTATACATGATAGGAGTGAAACATTTTTACACTACTCATTAAGGCACTAAAAACAGTGTTCTATCAGTGTTCTCATCGCTTATCGTCTTGATATCAAATCATATCCTGAAAATTAGGAATGAAAGATTCCATCCATCTGTACAACATTGATAATCATTTAAACATCATTAATCCTTACTGAGCAAGAACAGCTAACATTCTGAACAGAAATGGATTTATTTAACTTGACATTGTGCAAAAAGCAGAACTGGTACGGGCACAATGTGCATTAAACTTAAAAAAGCTAAAGGCAGAAAACTAAATGTAACGAAGGAGGAACTAAAAGCACTTCGAGACATAAAAGCAGACAAATCCATTGTCATTACTCAAGCAGACAAAGGAAACACAACAGTAATACTTAACAAAACAACATATACGGAAAAGATGAATGAACATTTACAATCCGGACCCTATACCATAATGACGAAATCAGCTGAAACAATCACAAACAAACAATGAAAGAAACAGCAAAGGTAGTTAGACAAATGAAAGAAGTAATTGGTAAGTCAAAATGGTTTTAAATTATACCAAAATCATGTAATATACCTAGGATGTATGGCAAGATAAAATTGCATAAAGAAGGATATCCAATAAGACCGACTGTAGACTTTGGAAACACACCAACGTATATGCTATCAGGATTTCTCTGAACAATACTAAGACTGACAAGAGACAACTCAAAAGCTAGAATAGTAGATTCATTTGAATTAGTGAGACGACTAAAAACCACTAAAATAGAGGAAGAGGAAATACTAGTCAGCTTTGATATAAACAAGATACCCATTCAAATGGCCATGAACACACTGAAAACGAGACTAAAAGATAATAATGACCTAAAAGACAGAATTAATATATGTGTAAAACTTGGGCACTGTGGTAGTCAGTAATTCCATATTAATTTGTTTATTAGATGTATCACACAGTGAAACAGTATTATTTACTGGATGACGTTTCAAACAAAATTTATTGTTCATAATCATATCAGTTATAATCACACGACTTCGAAACTTGGGTTTTATAGTTTTCTTTGTTCTCTCCTATTTGTCGTAGGGGTAGTAGAATTTTCCAGATATCTGGGACAGGTGTTGAATCATTCCTATTACATGTGTTTACAGTTGATTCGATAAATAAAGCTTCTGTTATCAATCTCTCCCTCCACCCTGTGTCATTAGACTTTAAAACTGTCATCCTATTCCATCCTATTGTATTGTTGTGTGTAACTGCATGTAGTGCAATAGCTGAACTATTCTCTAGATTTTTTATCTATAAAACACCAGTTTCGAAGTCGTGTGATTATAATTGATATGATTATGAACAATAAATTTTGTTCAGAACGTCATCCAGTAAATAATACTGTTTCACTGTGTGATACATCTAATAAACAAACTTATATGGAACTAGATTTCAGTAAATTGAATATTCCCATAATTTATTCAGAACAAAATATTTAGAGCGAAGAATTGTTTTCAATAAATTCTTCTTCAGGCTCTACAATTATAAACCCATTAATTTAAGCATACAAGAGCCAGTAAAGGCAAATTAGAATCATATCAGAAAGTGTATTGTGGAACAAGTATAAGATGGGATGGAACAATAGTCAGATAGTTTTTTAATATGCATGGTCAATGAGAAGATGGAACAAAAAGAGATGAAGTTCCACAATAAACTTTCTGATATGATTCTAATTTACCTTTACTGGCTATTGTATGCTTAAATTAATTATTAATTATAATTGTAGAGCCTGAAGAAGAATTTATTGAAAACAATTGTTCGCTCTAAATATTTTGTTCTGAATTATATGGAACTCAAAGAAAGAACACAATTATCCGTAGAAGAGATAATAAAAGGGGTGGAATTCTGTCTGACAACGACATATTTTACATTTGAAAGAAAAATATACCAACAAAATGAAGGAGTAGCTATGGGATCGCCCATCTCACCAATAGCTAATATATTCATGGATTTTTGGGACGAGAATGCACTTAAACCATTCAGGTCATCAATAAAATGTTGGTAGAGATATGTAGACGACAAGTTAGTAATAATGAAAAAAACGATGTTAAGAAATTCTTCTCGCACATAAACAGTCATGTCGACTCAATAAAATTCACTATGGAAATAGAGAATGAGATTGGAGGAGTGCCTTTGTTAGACTGCGAAATACAAACGGTAACAGATGGTAGCATAAAACGACGCTATATACAAAATGACGCACTCTGGAAGATTCCTTGATTACCACTCAGCTCATTCACTCACGCTAAAACGAGGATTAATACAAGGTCTTGCAATTCGAATACGTAGACTTACAACAACACCAGAGGACCAGTGCAAAGAATTTTAAAAAATACATAAAAAAGAAACAAACGAGGGTAAAACCGGAGAATGACGAGACGGAGGAATGCAAAAACAGTCACAATACCATACAAAAGTGGCACATCAGAGACAATTCGAAGAAACTTCAAAAATGTTGGGATTCGCACAAAGTTTAAACCGACAAATCTAATTAAAAATAGAATAAATCAACTGAAAGATACTATAAAAATGATGGATAAAAACAATGTGATTTACAAAATATCCTGTGCCGAGTGTCCGACTAAATATGTGCGTCAAACTTCCAGATCACTCAAAATAAGGGTGAGAGAAGATAAACGCCTAACTAAAGGTCAACCAACAGGAACACAAGCTTACAAGAATTTAGAAAAATATTCATCTATAGCTGCACATGCATGGGACAAAAACCACAATATCGGTTGGAACAATGTTTGTATTCTAACAGCTAATGTGAACAAATGGAAAGAGAGACTTATAATAGAATCCATATTCATTAAGGTCACACCGGATACATGTAACAAGGGTGACTCATTACAACTGTCAACAACCTGGGATATAATTCTGGATGCACAAAAATGAATGACCAAAAAATGAACTATATATATGAGTACAGATCATAAATGTGTGAATTAAAAACAAAACAATTCCAACAGTGGTGTGAACTCGGGCAGTAATTTTGCTCGAAATATTACCAATAACAAAACTTATCATTGTGTGTAAACCATTGAAATATAATTAAAATTATACAATCCTCAAACTTTTTACTGACATCTATGTCTGATAATGAAAGAAAATGACAACATTTGCTACATTGTAAAAGTAGCTAACTAAAATGGAAGAATGGATGCGCAACGCACATCTAGTTTAGGTGCTTGAATTTACTTGGTTGTACAAAATTTTAGTACGAGACGTCATGTAATAAAAATAAAAGTCCGGTTACGAGTAAAATCAATGTGTAGGTGACAGGCTTAAAAAGAATGTACGCGTAAATATGGTAAAATGAGATGCGTAAAATAATCATAATTCTGTATGCAAATTAACATTCTGGGAAAGAGGTTTGAAGAAGTATCAATGACTGTCATCTTTTGTCAACTCATAACTGCATAAACATTCCTGATGAAAATCATTCCAAGGAAAAATTACATTGAATGTCGTTAAAGTATGTACGTCTGTTTAGAAACACGTTGAAAAAAACAGATATCTTCAATTCGACGGCATTGGATTGTAACCACCGCACATATCTAGTTTACTCGGATAGGAAATTGAAAGAGTCAGATAGTGTCAACTATTCATGTTAATATCCAGACTGGTAATGAGAGAAATAAGTCAGACCTGAAATTCATTATCAATTTTTAGCTTTTCCATTGGCTTACTAAACCACTAACCTTGATTTATTAATGTGTGTAGTGAGTCGTGTGGGTGGATCAAGGGGGTGTTAGTATGACCTTGAGAATGATTGGCGAAACAGTTATACAAATTAACAATGTATGATCTAAATATACTAATTAGTGACTTTGCATTTAATCAACATGACGTGTGATTATCGAGCTGCAAAGTCGGGCTTTGCTCTAGACGTACAACAAAAGCTTGCGGAAAAGTTTGATGGGAAGGAGGCCGCCAAAACCCTCCGATGGATTAGATTGTTGACTCCACCAGACGTCAAACCTCCTGGTCCAATGTCGGAGGCCGTTGAAAAAATACCAAAGGACATTGATGATGTGACTATGGATGAGTATTTTGAATATTTGTACAATGGCCTTACTTTGGGTTATTTGATGGCATGTCTGGATCCCAATTTTGCGTCAAGAGTGAACAGCTCTAGAACTTGGCAAGTTGCAGAGAAGACTATTTTCGAAACCCCTCGACAGCGTGAACGTATTGGTGTATTTTTACAGTTTGCCGCTGATCTTGGCGTCAATTCCGCATCTCGTTTCCAGACTGACCAGTTGTATGAAAAAACAAATCTTCCTCAAGTTGTCGTCTGTCTTAGCCAACTTGGGATTGAAGCACAAGCTAAACCCGGTTTCAGAGGTCCATCTGACTTTTGGGTTCACAAGCATAAAGAAAACAAGCGTGCTTTTACAGAAGAACAGCTTCGCTCGGGAGAAACTGTGATTGGATTGCAAGCAGGATACACTGGCGGCGCTACCGCCTCTGGTGTCAACTTTGGCGGTCGCAGACACATAACAGATACCTTCTAGAGTTTCTACTTGTTTCCTAATATACCTATTTCGGACTTACACAATCCTACCCTCAGTGAACCGTTTATACTTGTGTTTTTGATGGACGTACTTGGGACTTCTGATTTTACAGACCAAATATATTTGATGATCAGTTCTACTTACATCAAAATTCCCAATATTTCTGTCTTTTATGATGCTTGCTCAGAATAAACTACTTTAAATATTTTTCTTACAGTATCACATGAAGCTGAATGTAATCTGAGAGGTAAATAAAGTGGTTTGTGTTTTTATTTTGTATTGTGTTCTTGACATAGCTATTATTATACATAAACAAGCTAATGATATGCGTTTTTAATTTTATCATTTATTAATTCGTATTAAGCAAAAGGTAGGCCTTGTTATTGATCTAACTCCTTCACCTTAATAATACTAGTACATTAGGTGAACTACAGTAGTATGAATGTGGTATATTTTGTAAGACAAATTGAGCCATGAAGTATTCACTTTACAATAAGACCACCAATGGCTATACTCTACTGTATGCCGTACTTTTAGTGCAACACCTAATTTACCAGTCAAGTGATGACTAGCTTGTTAACAATAATTAGTCAGCATCAACATTTAAAAGGAATAACATTTAAAGGACACAGATTTTCATGAAAATTGAGACAGAGGCTTATATAGTGCATAATTTATATGTTGAAAAATAAAAAGACCACGAAAATCGATTGCGTGACAATAATTATAGGCGAACTAGGCAGATCAGAAAGCTGGAATAATAATAAATTTTAAATCGGGTAGAGAGAGGGGGAACGTGTAGGTTTCACACTTATATGAAGATGGCAGTTGTAAAGAAAATTTGTGCTTCTACAGGTTGAATTTACGGCTTCAGGTGGATGTCAAAGATAGTTTCATAAAGCAAAATTAATACTGGTGTGAATGCGATAAGCAAGTCTGAACGTTACATTAGTATCAATACTACGGTTAGTATCTACGGCATGGGTTGAATAAGAGTAACGACTTTGTTTTCTCATCGCGGCAACTACAACCACTAAATCTAATGGGATGACCCTGAGCAACCAATCAAAATGAACTCTTGTATGGCCACTGGTTTTACGTGAAGCTAACAACAATGAGAAACTTAGACTTTGAAGAGTTTCAGCCTTAAATTAATAGTTGAATTACTGGTGCGAGCCTATTAGTTGTGGTAATGACTTGGGAATTACAGTGGATCAGTAAGATCTATAGACAGTTTGATCACTTAATATAATATTTGAGTTAAAATACTAGGTGTGTGTAGTAGGACTCGTACTATTCTTACGTTTATTTTTGCTCTTTATAATTAGGGATATTAGAGAGACGACAGAAGATCAATTTAACATTGGGATATATTGGTCGCTTTTCCGAAATAACTATTAGTTTCACATGACTTTGAAATCCACTCCACAAGAAGAAACTGCGACATATTGGGTGTGTAGATCGTTTAACGAAGACGTTACGAAATTGCATATTTAAATTGATGTAGGATATTCCTTTCCATACTCACTAGAACGTAGCATGCTTCTTCGTATCACTGAGTCGAGTTGCAGTTAATACTAGGCTTAACTAATGTCATTCGTTTGATCCAATCAAAGTAACTATTACAGTCCTGCGAGGCCAAATAGCTCGATGGCAACGTCTCTGACTGCAGCACTGGGTCGTCCAGGTTCTAACCTCTGAAGCGACATAAGTTCCTTCAAGAATGGAGATACTCCCTGATGACGAGCACTAACACACATGAAACCTAGGTCCAAGACTTCCTGCCGATCAAAAAATAAAGATGAATTAACTCGAATTCGTCAACTATTTGTTATCCTGTAGACATCTAGTAAGACATGTGTATATATTTGTTCCAAATAACTTATTTTGACGTTAAGCCTACTGTATTATCAACTACCACGCGGTCAAGGCTATTGATGTAAGTACAACGCGGTTGACTGGTATGCCCACTGGTAAAAATTCATATTTGTGAAGGATAAATTCCAAAAGGACAGAGAGTGTGAGACCGAAATATCATTGAATTCAAACATCAGTTTGTATTACTGTATAATCCTCTTAATAAGCCTATCTTTGACCTATTGTTTAATGACTTATTTCAAATGTAAATTATTTTATGTTGTAAGTTTATTATTAGCAAAATGTTATATGTAAACCAGGTTGTTATTCAGAAGTCATAGGAGAAAATCAATTCTAAGCAAATTTAACACTGAGTTTTCACGTTTTCTGAAAAGATTGTATACAGATTACAACAAGTGGTTATTGTGTGACAAAAAACAGTTCCACTGTTACAAAAACAACTCACTATTTTGCGTACTCTGAATCACACTATATGAGTGGAGTAGGTTTTGAATTTGTATGTTGTCTATAAATTATTTGACAAAGTTCGAAGTATAAACAGGTTAAGGAGAAAAGTGGCTTCTTCTGCCAGCATGAGGAACAATAAAATGAATGTCTACCTAAACTTAAGTGCAGCTGCACTTTTGGGGTTCTGGATATTTCTATGGCTAGTAAAAATTATCCTCTAACTACATTCATACAGAGAAAATTATGGTGTTGGGTGAGTGCGTATAGAACAAACTGATTTTGGTCAGCAAGACATTCAAGTCTGCATTAGAAGTATTACTTACTGATATATCATTTGCATTGTACCAAAGGTAGTTGAATAAGTGTTACTAAAAAAGTATGGACTTTACTTCCTACGTTAAAATGGAGCACAGGTACATAACAATATACCCGCTATTTGATAGATAACGTTGTTCAAGACTGATGTGGATGGATATTATTATTATAATTGTTCACTTTTTCATCTGTTTGCTCTGATTATTTGCCCTCTTTGTTTGTTCGGGATAACTTCCATCTAGTTACATACGAGTTTACTTCTCTAGCTCAAAAAGTGTTTAGCTTAAGTGATCTGGTAACACGTGTCTAAAATGGGAACAGTTATTTAGAAAAATTTATTCCAAGAACTACCTCTTATCAAAGCTACATTAGGTAATGAATTTTTCTTTTTAATACATGTTCGTGAAGTGTCCAGTCATAATAGCAAATAGACCGTTTAAAAGTAATCTAATCAATGTGTCTGTTTATTATAAATAAACACAGATAAATGTGACGCTAAGTGTTATTTCTGAAGCTCACTATTTTGGAACTCATTTTGTCGCAAATATATATTTGCAGGTATCGTTAAATCTTCCTTTGTAGCATTTATCCTTGTTATAAGCTATAATGAATTTAGTTTATTAAATAATCTTTATTTCACTTAATACGTCACCATTTGCTTGAATACACTTTTTTTGAAAGACTGTGATTGTGATCCAAACATATGCAACTAGCATACGTACGATCGAAAACAAATGGGTGCGTACTGTGATGAGTCCCAAACTAGGACGAAACAGCTGTCCAGCACTCCCACGTTTTCCAATGATTCTTGAACTGATATCAGCTCATGATGAAACCCTCCAACCAATCAAACACAATTCCTACAAAAACCAATACTTAAAAAATAACAAAACAAGTGGAATTACTTAAATATTCATACCATAGTTAGTCTCATCTCGCATGTTAGCACTTTACAGGCTTTTTAAATATTATATGCATTTAACCAAGTATGTGGGAGACACTAAATGCAGCTGATATCAGTTACAAACTATATGTCCATAAAATGTTTAAGTGATCTCACCAGTGAATTAAGTACGACTTGTCACCGATTTTTAAATAGTTTTCAAATTAAAGTAGTCTGCAGAGGATCTTGTACGAAGTGCAGATGAATTTTGTTCTTAACCTTTCTTTACTAAGAACAACTATTCCCTTTGTCAAATCAGGTTTTAATCTACCTTGGCTCTAGTAAATTATTTATCTTTTCCTCTTGTTCGATTGTATGATTTCTCGACTGAACTATTTACTATATCTCTAAGCCCATCGATTCTTCAGAGGTTGTATTCAAATCAATGTTTAGCTGTATAATTCACTAGTTACTTTTCATGCATACTTTGGCTTAACTAGATGGTTTAAATACCAAAGCAATTTATTACTGCCTTCATTAGTCCTTTTTGAAACTTTTATTTGGATAAGATACATAAATGGAATTTTCTTATTAGTGCATATGACTAATTTTATTTGAATATGTATGTTTTTTTACTGTTTAGTTTCTGGCTGCTGTTAACTGACTTCAGTTCTCTACTGATTGTTTATATCAATTTAAATCTAGATTACGGGTTTTCTAGGGATTCGGATAAATTTCTGTGTAGATTTCGTCACGAAGCAACATCAGTCAGAGATCACTGAAAACCAGTAAGCATTCCAGGCTGTTTCATCCTAGTTTGGGACTCTTCACTAGTGCCCACGCCCAACTCCACTAGGCATTGAAATCGGGAGCTTCAGGTTACGAGACCAGCTGGCTGGACAAACAACCATATGAAGATTAATCCAAATCCCTACAAAACTCATAGTCTTTATATCAATCTCCTGCTGATTGTTGACCACTTGATGGATGTTCTGAAGTTGTAACAACAGGAAATGGACGTGGGGTCTACTATGTCAAGGTGAAATGAATGCTCATCTATGGCACACGTTGGGAGTGAGGCTATATTACCACCTTGAGTATACTGAAAACTTCCACTCAGACGTTAAGTAGGTAACAAAAAGTTATAACAAAGAGTATTCTTTCCGATACTCCGGCTCTACAATTATATATATATATATATATATATATATATATATATATATATATGATTCCGTTAGGCTGCGAATGAAACATATGGTTTCAACAGGACTTCTCCATTCTTACTGTTCTCTGCAGTCCCTCTCAGCTCGCCCCAATACTGCTTATTATTGTCTGTCTATAAATTAATGCGATAAAAATAGCACAACGGAAATGAAATGCTGAAATTACAACTGGGAAGCATCAGAGGTATTTCTACACATTTTATGCCTGAAAAGAGCAAAGTGAAAACATTTTGTATTCTATACTTTCTATCAGC